ATGGAATTCATTATAGCAGGCTTAGAATTTAGACAAGAGAAAAATCTTCCTCATCGTCAACATTACCTATGTCATGCATATGCAGCCTGTTACAAGAAGAGCCATTGAAAGGATTTAAGCATAGGGTGAACATGATCCCAGCTACACTAAGAACTACTTCAAACAAAAAAATATGATTTAAATTACTGTATCATCAATATAGTTAGCATAACACCTTGAACAAAATGATAGGTGTGTATGCTTTCTCTCATTCCGCCAATATCACTGAGCACCTACTGTGTACATACATATTGTAGACTGTGGAGTCACAGTCATGAGGAGGGCATTCACAGTCATGAAGAGCTGCACGGAGCTTACACTTTTAACTGAAGAACTATTAGGGGCGCCTGGGTGGCTCAGTGGATTGAGCATCTGACTCTTGATTTCGGCTCAGGTCATGATCTCATGGTTTGTGAGATTGAGCCCCGCATTGGACTCTGTGCTGACAGCATGGAACCTGCTTGGGATTCTCTCTCCCTCCCTCTCTCTCTCTCTCTCTGGCCCACCTTTGCTCTCTCTCTCTCTCTCTCTCTCTCAAAATAAATAAATAAGCTTTAAAAAACAAAGAACAATTGGATAAACAGCTAATTAAACAACTAATTGTGGAATCACATTTATTAGAAGTCCTGTAAAGGAAAAAGCAGGGTTCTATAAACACATTTCACAGGCAGGTTGACATGGTTTTCAGATCGGGGCAGGAATCCCTGAGGAAGTTACATTTAGCAAGGCAGTGGTGAAGTAGGTGAAGGAGAAACTGGGCGGGGGGGGGGGGCGGTTTGGAACATTCCAGGTAGACAGAACCATATATATAAGGGACCAGAGGCAGGAAGGCACAAGGCATTTTTAAAGAATTGAAGGAGAAGTAGGGGGTAGAGCAGAGAGAACAAGAGCAGAATGATGGAAATAAAGCTGTTGAAGTGAGCAGGAGCCAGGTGTAGGTCCTTGTAGACCATGTTAAAATGTTTTACCCCACGAGAACAGTCATTGAAAGGATTTATGCATGGTGTTCACATGATGAGATCTATGTGTTTTTTTTTTAATCACTGGAAGGTAGAGGCCATTCGAGGATAAAGGGATATCAGATGATGGTAACTTGGACTGAAAGAGTGATTGTGGAGATGGAAAGAAATGGTGAAGTTGAGAGCTATTTAGGAACAACAGGCATTTGGGAGGATGCGGGAGATGATGGAGTTGAGATGACTCCTAGGTTTCTGGTTTGCATGATGGAATATAACAGGCGTCATTCACTGGGAGAAGGAAACAGGGATGGGAATCAATGGAGTGTGGTGGGCTCACTATCAGTTTTACACGCATTGTGTTTGTTGTGCTCATGAAACATCCAAGAATTGTTCGAGGTGGCGGGGGTGGCAGTGGAAGCTCAGAGGAAGGGTATGTGCTGGACACATAGATTTAAGAGTGATTGTGGTCAAGTGAAACTGGGCTCCTAAGGAGAAAGAATAGAAGACTGAGCTCATATTCAATAAACTGTTGTCAACAATTCCGGATCGTCTTTACATGAGATAAGCACCTTCCTTCCTGTGCCATCTTTATTTTCTCTGGGTAAGTTAGGACCTCATTGTGACACAGTCCTGCTAAAAACTTAAACTTGTGCCCTGGAAACCCCTTAATGTGAAATCTTTATATTATATAATGAGAGTACAAGGGTGGGAGACCATCCCTCAAACTCAGTCTTTAAAGGATGTTACTGTTGTTATCAAAATATTTAACAGTCTGATGTCTTGCATATCATCTTGGTAAACACCAGCTGTATACAGTCACTTTATATCCAGCAGGTCACCTCTTCTACTCATTAGTAGGAAATTGGAATTTAAATTTAGCTATTGCATGTCTTTGTAAAGTTTATTAACCTTCTCTAGTTTTCTGATTCCCACGAGGCTCTTCCTTACCTGACATTGCTATCTCTCTGTAGAGTCACAGATTATCAGGGTTAGAGAGCTTTTTATTGAAGTCCTCCAATTTTTCAAAAGAAGAAAATGAGGTCAAAGGGAGACGATGGCTTGAGCCACATGGTAAGTTGGTAGCATAGCCAGGCATCACCCTCCGAGCCTCCCGCCCTGAGCCCAGCTTAGAAGTACACTGTTTCTTCCCTTAACCATGACTTTAAATGTCTCTTCTCAGAATTCTGAAGCTTTGTAAAGTTTAAAAGAAACTCATTAGTTGCACATTAGGCTCTCCCAAAAGGAAATGCTGCACTTGTTCCTTTGAAGCCTTACTGGGGAAAGTACTACTTAGAGAGAACCTGTTATTCTAGCTCCCATTCACAGAGGGGCACCAGAGCAGCTGTGGGTCTGATCTCTCTTCTCTTCTAAATTAATGGCGGCAGAAGATCTGGTTCCCTTTTTCTATGCTTCTTTCCTCCACCCCCCCCCCCCATAAATCACTTTAATTGTGTGCACATCATCTACTTCAGAGTCTAAGGGAACCTGATACTTGTTCTAGACTCACTCCATTCTCATCAGTCTAATACCAAAACCCCTCTCCAAATGGAAAGATCCATTATTCAGTGACAGCAGGACACTGACAGGCACTTAGGAAGCTAAAAGGATGAGGGGAGCAAAGGTCTCCCATTACCTCCTTAAACCTTTTTTGTCAGCTACTCATATGCATTTAACGTGTAGCACTTCGCTTGTGAATTTCGGTTTGCCTCCTTTCCTACCAACAATTTCTCCTAATTGTTCCATTCTTCTAAGACACTACAGCCTGATATAGCACCTTTGCCTTCCTCTCAAAATGTTCTGAAAGACTAATTCGATCCTTAAAGAACAAAAAAATTAAAAGCTTTTTGTGAGTAATCAATTCCCTGCAAGTTTGCTAATATTTTTCTGTTTCTTGGTAGCATGTTCCACAACATAGGCTGATAATCTCTTTAAAAACTCTGATCCTTAATCGTGATGTAATGTTTTAAGAAAAATGCATACATAGCGTGTACTAGATAATGGTTGATTATGGTTTTGTTAAAAATTTACACCTGCAAATACCTAGTTAGAAATAGCTGCCCCTTAGAATTCAAGAAAGGTACATTGGAGGGATAGACTCCAGTGAAAAGCCCTATCAGGATCCAGATTTAGCTTTTAACAAAGACCCAAACTTAAAATATTAGCTTCAATATGATAGAAGGTTATTTATCGGGAGATCTCCAATCTCTGGATATAGGGTTTCAGAAACCTAAGCTTCCTCTGTGTGGCTTCCTGCTCTTGTCTACATGGTTGAAGATGGGTCACCAGTTCTGGGCCCACACCGCAACAGCAACAAGGAGGAAATGAGCTACAGGAAAGCACAACCATCATTTTGAAGAGCACATTCAGAAGGGCTCACTTCCCATTGGCTGGTATGAGGTCACATGGCTGCACCTCCCAGCAAAGGAGGCCAGGAAATGTCCTTAGCTGGGCAGGACATTTGCTCAGCTAAAACTTGAAAAGCTTATTACTGAAGAAAGAAGGGAGTGTGGGATACCAAGGAACAACTCTCAGCTTCTGTCATTCGTAAGAGATTAAGTTGTAAGTAACGGAGAAAATTTATTACTTTCATTTGTTAAGCCAAGGAAATTTATTCGACATGGAAAAAAAAGTAGAAGAATATCTGTGATCGTCACCTCCCAAAGCTATCTATTAAAATCCAGCCGAGTCTGTGGGAAGTGATTTTGGAAATTAGTCCTTCTAAAATTATTCCTTCTATTCTTGGGGTGATCATTTCACTGTGTATACGAATATCAAATCCTTACATTGTTCACCTGAAACTAATGTAATATGCCAAACGATCCCTAATTAATTAATTAAGTCCTTCTGGAGTTCTATAAAGATAATGGGAGAAAAGGCCCTGCTGGACCAGAGCCCACATGAGGGTCAACCTTGCTAGGGAGCATGCTCAAGGAAAGGGAGGACAGCAGACCTCAGAGGGTGAAGCTTGAGGCACCAGATTATGTGCGTTTGCCTTAGCCACAGAACTTTGACTATCAGAGTTGAGAAGCAAGCAGAATCGTCTCCCCTAGTGAAGGAAGGACAACTAAAACAGGGGTAACGAGGCCTGACAACTATTTATTGCACACCTCCTATGTGCCGGTCATTATGCCAGGCACTGAGGAGGGTGCAATCAATAAGATGTCATCTCTGCCTTCCCAGCAAGCTTGCAGTCTGGCAAAGGACAGAAGCATGTAATCCACACTGGCCACTATGAAACAGTGAGGCGTGTGCCACAACTGAAGGCATCTAGCAGGCTATAGGAGCACGTGAGAAAGTGATCTCCCAAATCGTGAGTCAGGAGAGGCTTCTCAGAAGAATTGATGTTTACACGGAGTCGCCAAGTAGGAGTTGAAGGAATAAAGAGTGTTCCAAGCCAAAAGTAAAGCATGTGCGGTGTAAAGTCACTCCTGAGGGTGAGGTGACCCTAGATCAGGTCCGGGATAAAGAAAGATCCAAAAGATTTACAAATTCAACTTAGGGTATGCATCCCCAGTATTTGGCTATTTAGAGACATCATCTCTTCATCCTTCTCTCCCATCCATCCATCCATCCATCCATCCACAGTAGATGCTGAGATGTTTGAATTCATTAATTTTTAAAACTGTTACTGAGAAACCTATTTTTGCCAGGCACTGTGCCAAGTGATAAAGAGGGCATAAAGATACACAAAACATTATCCCCAGTGATGCGAAGCTTAAATTTTAATTGAAGAGATAAATCTGTGCACATGTTACTAGATACACAAGCTGCATAGAACATGCCTAAAACGTGTCCTAAAACATGCCCTAAGAAGTTACCGCTGGCAGGGGTCATGTTACCTGGAGGGAAATGTAAGTTTCATGGCTAACATTACCAGACCAACATCAGACTGAACACTCTCCACATTTCTCATGTGTCTGTGTTTGCTTATTGGGTTTCTGTTTTGTTTTGTTTTGTTTTGGTTTTGTTTTGTTTTGTTTTCTGATATTTGTTCTTCCATAGATTCTGTGGCAACAGCATCCGGGCCACTGCTAGTTGAAGTTGCCAAAACTCCTGGTGCCAGCCTTGGGGTTGCCCTGACTACCTCGATGTGCTGTAACAAACAGGTCATTGTCATAGACAAAATCAAATCTGCAAGTATTGCGGACAGGTGAGTGTTGTAGAAAGTGCCTACGTTTCAAAACTGCATGAGTGTTAAAATAGATATCTACATGTATTTCCACACGCATATACACACATGTAATACATACACATATACACATGCCTTCACATACGTACATATCTGATTTTAAAAAGAGCTCTTCTGCCCATCTATACAAGTTTCATCAAGAAAACAAGTTACGGTTCTAGGGCTTAAAAATCAACCCACCTGTCAGCCACCCCAGATGTTATGTTGCCTCATCCAGACGTTTGGTGTGGCCTTTAGCAATAGGAAAAAAAGGAAGTCAAGCAACTGAACAAGTTTCCCTACCATGTTCTAGGGTGATAGATTGGTTTTGCTGTAAGGTAGCTAAGTATATCTTTTGTGTGCTCCATTTAGAGAAGTCATGGGTTTTCGTGAACTGTTAACAGTTAAATCTTGCCACCATAAAATCTTATTCCTTTTTTCTTAAATAAGTAAAACAATATTTTTGAAATAATGCAGTCTTTAAAGAGAAGTCTTATGCTGTCACGGAATGTTAATCTTAGGGTTTCACAATCTTCAAGGGCCCCTGAAAACATCATTCATTCCTATGACACAATAAAAACAAAAGCCCTTTTTCCTGAGTTCTTTTTGCGAATTAATATTTTAGACTTACAAGGTGAGAAGGGGGGGAAGAAAGACTACCTCACCCCCTAATAAGTTATTTCACAGCTCCTGATAGGAACTCCCCCCCACCTTCACAGCTGAAGCTCTTTAAGTGTTTCCACTTGAACTTTTATTTTTAGACAGAAGGGATGAGTTGAAATGCTTTTTTGTCTTGAGAAGTAGACTGTTTTCACTGTGGAAGTCTCTAGACGTACTCCAAAAGGCCCAGCCTCCCTTGCAGGTTCCCAGCCTCTTTTTCATATGCCCTCGCCTTACCTGGGAAACCTCCAACTCAGACGCAGTAACCCGCAGCAACCCCTGTCTTGGTCAGTCTACAGCTCCACTGTGGTCTTACCCTACATTCAGCCCGTTAACAGTGACGGCCATTGATCCAGGGGTGTTCTCCAGTTCAATGGTGCAGGATGCTTTAATTTTCTCCCTCTGTTTTTTTTTTCCCATTCCGCAGGGGGTAACCAGTTTAAGGAGCTGTCCACTTGACTGGTACGTCGGGATGCTGACTGCTGTGTTTGCTTTTCTCAACTCATGCAGTAGCCAGTCTCTTGAGTTCAGCAAGGTGTAGCTCTAGCCCCCGCTTTCCCTTCACTCACCACGCAGGCCTCCTTTATGGCTCTTTTGACTCCTGCATAATTTCCATCGCCATCAAGAGCTTTTGTACTAATCGATGTTTAACTCGAAAATAACAAAATACAATACAGTAGTAAAGAACTGATGATTTGGCAGCTTGTGTGAGAGAGTTCTGAAAAAAGCATTAGCTGAATCTCCCCGAGTTATTCCCATTCACACATAAACTAGTTGTAAATGATCCTGTTCCAGTTATGTGAGTCACATCTTGACATCCTGAACATTGACCAGCTCATATTTATAGATATACAAACCAACAAGGAAAAATCACGGAAGAAAGTCAAGGGGAAAAATGTTCCTGTTCCTCTCTTCCCTCCCACACACTTCCCTTCAACTTCTGGCACCACCACCCTGAAATAATACGATTTCTTAAGAGGCAGAAGAGAACATTTCCTTGAGTTTTTCTGTATCTCCCACATTCCTCTTCATACGCAAGGTGCTTCACATTTGACAGATGGTGTTTCCTATAACACTCAGAGTTTTCCTTTTTTAAGTAAATGCAAACCGCGTGAAATGTTAAGACTGCGAAGGACATGAACGTCATGTTCCAAAGACGAGAGCACTCATCGCACTGAGTATTTCTCCTTTCCGTAGATGTGGCGCCCTTCACGTGGGAGATCACATCCTGTCCATCGACGGAACCAGCATGGAGTACTGTACGTTGGCAGAAGCCACCCAGTTCCTGGCCAACACCACTGACCAGGTCAAGCTGGAGATTCTTCCCCATCATCAGACCCGCCTGGCCCTGAAGGGACCTGAGCATGGTGAGAAGGATCCATCTGGATAAATCTCTTTATCTTGCTTTTACAGTTACTGCTTCTCTCCCAGAATTAGAAGCAGAAAGACACAGAGGCTAATTCTGGCTTTATCATTTCTTTCAGAGCAGCGGGTTATCTTTTGTTTACTTTCCCTCGTCTCCCAGATCCTTGTTCCTGAGCCAAATGTAATTTATTTGAAACCTCAAAATTGAGGAAAGAAACATTGTTTGAAATAGAATTTTCAGGCTTGTGCTATTTGATATTTAAAAAAAAAAAAAAAGAAGAAGAAGAAGAAGAAGGCTTTGTTGCAAAGTGATTGTGAAGAGAAGAGGAATAATTTGACTTCCTGTTACGCAGAGTGAATGTCCACTCTACCTCAAGGACGGTGAAGGCAAATTATAAAATTCTCACTTTTTAAAAATAATTATAAAATGGGTATTAACGGCAGACGCTTCAAATTTGGGGAGGAGAAAACAGTTGTGTGCAAGGTTGACTTTCTCTACAGTTTGTCTGTTTGCCAGAATAGCTTTTTCCTTAGCCCTTCCATAAAGGAACGACCTTTATGATGAAATATCTTTCCTGGGCGCGTCAGAATATTTGACTGCTTTTATTCAGTAACAAGTGTCAGCTGAGGGGACCTGCATTTTCACTGTCTGAAGCTCACGGGTACATTTGCTAAGTGTTTGTACACCATCCACCTAAGCATCTTTAAACAAAACCCAGTACAAGAGAAAGGACTTGGAGCCCAAAATCACATTGAAGAAAGACTCTTCAAGGGGGTTCTTTGTTCCAACTCCTCTCTCCTTTCCCTTAAGTCAAGTGCCCCCCTTTTTTATTCCCTGAAATCGATTCCTTGAAGCTTCACTAGTGCTGTCAGGGGGCCCTAATGGAGAAGAGCACTTTTTTTTTGTATGTTTAGAGAAAGAGAACAATTTTCTCCGGAATTGAAATTTTGTTTGTCAAGAGATCATTTGTATTATGTGTCTCCCACCTTCTGAAAGACACCGCGCTTTTCCACAGTTTGAAGAAAAAACAGAGGGACCGGTTAATTTTCATACTGAATGAGTCAGCTGGATGCAACCTTTTTTAATTAAATGGAGCTTAGACAGCCCTGGAGCTAATGAAAATCTCTAGTACAGCATTACCTTTATCAGATTTTAATTTTACACAATGGAGCCGAGAAGTGATGCAGTATAGGCAGGTTATGAAAAGAAATTCTGCCTCATTTGCCTAGAAGTGGGAAGGGGCTCCAGGAGGTATAGGTCATGGGAATGCACACCACTCCGGTCAGGAGACCCCTTGGGACACCCTGGCAGAGGGGAGAGATTTCTCAAACTCAGTTTCTTCTAAATTAATCTGAAGCCGTCACTGGATTTGGAGCACAGGAGGTATAAGGATATACACTGTGTAGCGCTTTCTCAGCGTGAGATTTGGCTTGGTAAATCCTGCTATCGGTGAATCAGAAATATGGAGCAGACCCTTGCAAAATGTCATTATCTTCAGCAACCTCATTTTCCCCTTTTTATTTGCCCTGTATATAAATCATAAATAGTCCAAATAGTTTCCAACTCGTGAAATATTAAATATTTTTACCTGTCAAGACAATTTGAGAGGAAGAATGTATATACTAAAATGCATCAAGACCAAGAACAAATTATTTTTTTTTTTTTAATATGGAAGCCCTGTTGTCATTGTGACTTTTCAGAGGGGTGCAGGGTCGGGGCTGGTAATTTAAATAATTCAAGCTTCCATTTCTGACCCCATCATCTACTTTGGCTGAAAGTTGCTCATCATCTTTCTTCTCTAGCCTACAGGCATCTCCCTACAGTTTACATTAAAATCAGACTTGCATTTCCAAGAAGGCAAAAGTATTAGCTCCTAAACATAATTAAATCACAGTTAAGAATAGGGGGGAATGCCCCCCCAAATTCTGTTGTTTATAATTCTCAAACTTATGTTTTTTTCTGTGGTAGGGTGGTTTTACATAGTTTTTCCCTTTTTCCACAAGAGAGTTCTGGCCATCTTTTCAGGAAGCCTGATCCCTGAACGCTTATGTCTCATCCCATGGTAGATGGAAATATATTTCCCACATTTTGTTTCACAAGAAAGCATCCACCATAGTGTTTTCAGAGAAATAAAGAAACGGGCACATCAGCTAGGAAAAAAAGAGATTAACTGTGCCTTTTGCTGGTAAATAGCATGAATGGGGCACCTGGGTGGCTCAGACAGTTAAGCGTCCGACTTTGGCTCAGGTCATGATCTCAGGGTCCGTGGGTTCGAGCCCCGCGTCAGGCTCTGTGCTGACAGCTCAGAGCCTGGAGGCTGCTTCGGATTCTGTGACTCCTTCTCTCTCTGCCCCTCCCCCGCTCAAGCTCTGTCTCTCTTTCTCTTTCAAAAGTAAATAAATATTTAAAAGATTTTTAAATAGCGTTAAAAGTGCTTACGAGAATGAGCTCTCAATAAGATTAGACATTGTTCCTACTGAGGGTATTTGGGAGACATAATCATGATTGAAGTTCATGAGACTTTGAAAGAGAAAATGGGAGCAGAATCGCAAGGCTCAATAGAGTCAAGGCCTGGAAGACCTTCCATTTTTGAGTTCCAGGAGCAACCACAAAAGCAGCTGTTGCCTATGCCCCTCAGACATCACAGACAGGGCAAGAGGGTACAGTTAGAAGAGAGAACAAACCAAAGGACCCTCCACGTCAGATACTGCTTAAGACTCCAACAGTGATGTCATCATGGAAGATGTAAAAAGTAGTCTATTTTAACTTGCCGTTTATGTATCTGTATCAAATCTCGGAACGCCCGCAGGAGGCAGTGTAGTGCGGGTGGGCTGAAGGCAGGGATTCTTGAATCAGACTTCCAGACTTAACTGGGTGCTACCATCCTTAAAGAGTGTGGATTTCTAAAGTCCATTCACTATACCCTGCCCTCATTTGAAACGCAGACCGTACTTTGTAAAAAGGACATCGGAGTGGCTGTTGGGGTCAATGAGCCAGACCCAGCAATGATTGCATCTTGGTAAAAAGTCATCTTACACTCCCCAAAAGAGAACGAGGATGGGGAAAGATAACCCATTATGAACTTCCCCTGCAACACTCTTTATCACGAGGAAAATGCTGCCGCAGTGTAGACATGCACACTCTGGCTGATTCCTATTCACTTATGCATTCATTGATTCATCAGTCATTATGGACTAGGCACTATTCTAGGTGCTACAAGACATCTAGTGAGGGAGACAAAGTAGATTCCCATTCTCGTGGAATTTCAGTATAGAGAGGCAAATATTTAAAATATGTTAAATAAATAAAGCCACTTCAGACTAAGTGAATAAGTACTATGACGAACATAAAATACTAATGGGGTAGCATGGAGTCGGGCATATTCAGCCTGGGCTGGGGGGTGGTCAGAACAACTCTGAGGAGGTGGCGGCCCCTTAGCTGAGACCCGAAGGAGAAGAAGGAGTCAACCGACTGCAACCACGCAGTCAACTGGGAGAAGAATACACGAGGCGGAAAGAATGGCAAGGGCAAATGCCCTGAGGCAGGAAAGCAGCCTGGCTTGTTCTAAGAACGGCAGTAAGACCAATGGTGGCTGAAACAGTCAATGATGGGGAGAGTGATAGGGGATAAGCCCGCAGAGATAAGTAGGGGTCACATTTGATTCTCTATGTAACTGTACCCCATTGAAGTAGCTTAAATGGGAGTGACATGATCCACCTTATATATTTAAAGGATTACCAGGTCGTACAGATACTGGGAGGTAAGTATGCAGTTGATGAAGTGGGGAGCCAAGTCTGTAGGTGTTGCAGAGGTTAGGTAGAGGTGATGGCTTGGAACTAGAATGGTGGAGAGGCAGATGGAACCCAAACCAGAAACAGCAGCGTCACAGAAGGAACCGGCTGGGCCGCCTAGGGCTGTAGAATTATGGTGGCTATGCAAGTGATACTCTCTCAACCTAAGTGTCCAGTGAGTGAGATTTGTTGAGTGAGAGATACGTATTTCCTTCAAAAGATACTTTATTTGTTGGCAAGTAGAGCGAAAGTAGGCAGAATCAATGTTATCCGCAAGAGTTCATCTGTTTTTATCGAGTGTACCGGCACCGTGCAAGCACCTTGCGTATAGACCCGTGGGCATAATTCTCACGGTGGTCCTGCGGGGGCGATGCTTTCATGGTCTCCATTTGACATGTGGGGAAACTGAGGCTAAGGGAGGCTGAGTAACTAGCCATGGTCCTATAGAGAGGAAGGGCTGGAGCCAGAACTGAAACCCAGGCCCGCCTCAGCCCACAGCACTCTTTCATTGCTGGGGCTCTGGTTCCACGGGTAGCCTTACCCCAGAAAGGCTGTGAAGTGGCCAATGATGCTGACATCACAGATGGTACAACTTAAGCCCTTGTCTAAATGAGCTTCCTTTAAATACTTACGGAGCATTTGATTCTCTGCATGAATAAATACCGTCAAATAACTCACATGTAAGGCACCTCACATTAGAATCATGATACTAAAAGGAGGTACGAGTTCATTTGTTATTTTTCACTCTTGTTCAGTGAAAAACTTCGGATCGGACATAGTAATGAACATGACCTTGCTCATCTTTCAGAACACCTGGTAGAAAAAAGTCTAAATAATATTGAAATTAGAATGGAAACGCACTACACATTTTTTTCACTAAAGGGGACACAAAAATTTTGAAATAGCTTTACTAAAATGTTGTGGCATCTTAAGAAAATATAAGAACATGTGAAATCTTTTGAGAATTAACTGTTTCTTTCAAATGTAAACATATCTTTTTTCAAAGGTACAAAAAAGCATAAAATCTATTGAGACCTTTACTTATTAGGATACAAATATGATTCTGATATTGATAGATGATTAAGAGTGGGTTTTTTTTTTTTTTGAGAAAAATCAAGTCCAAGTGATGGGTCAGACTGTAATTAAAATGTCAGAACAGTAAATTGTGATATGTGACTGGTAAAGCACTTGAATCATGAGCCAGCATGATTTATTATTGTTCCTTCTATTCTTTTTCTCAAAACAAGTGCTACTAACTGACCAAGATGTGCAAATCTTTAATTACTAATCACGTGCCATAGATCTTTATGGCGTTGACTTTTAAGTTTAAAAAAAAAAATGTTTTTAATCTGGTCTGTGAAGCGCAGGGGGAGATTAGAAATTGATTCAATAGTCATTTTAAAAGAAGAAAAAATGGGCTGGCGAACGACATGCATTATTCTTGGGAAGATGGAAGGCTTCCATTCGTGATGTTAATCATCTGTTCTGCTGACCACTGAGAAAGGGCAAAGCCAGTATATTTTCTTTTTCTTTGCAAGCAGCTTTCATTTTTTTGTTACACTTTTTATTTGTACAGTTCAGTTACTTTTTCTTTTGTTTTGTTTTGTTTTGTTTTTGGTTCTTTGTTTGTTTGTTCTTATTTGTCATCATCACCTCATGTGGGCAGTGAAAATTCAGAGGAGCGACAGGCAACTTGCGTGGGATTCCTGGGCCAGCGACCACTGCAGCCTTCACACCTACCAATACCCTAATGCGTCCCACCCCGACCGTTGCAGAGCTCAGGCCCTGCCAGCCCCAAAGGCGCCTCCTCCCAACAGCCCTCGTAATGTTCCAGACTTTCTCCTCCTGGTCTTTTGTGAAAATTATATTCTGCCTCTTCCTCATCTGATTCATACCATATTTGGCTTCATGGGTGCTATGTGCTTTTTTTGTAATAGCAACTTATCGTTTCTGACATCTTTCTGAGTCTCTTCCCCTCCCGCCCTCCCCCCCAATCAGAAAGCATTTGTCATTAGAGAAGGATGTAAATGTTCCTAATGCTTTATATGTGGTCCGGAAATTAACAGTCCAAAATATGATATAGAATACGATGTGCTCAGAACTTCCTTGTGTGCTTGGAACCACTGTGAAATTCACGTCCGAAAAGATCTACGAACGATGCGTGTCTGTACTGGATGCACGGAGTTGTTGTTTATGCAGAAACACGGTTTCATGTTTATCTCTGTGTGTGTCTAGAGCAAAATTCATAGAGCCTCCCTCTGGGTTGCATTGTGCTCAGGAGGATCGTGCTGCCCCTCAGGCAGCGGTGGGCTCTTGTAACTTTGAGATTCTACAGTGCCGTCTCCGTGGCTTCTGAGACCTGGTCTCTGCCCGGTCGGGGCACTGACTAGCCATTGCTGCCGTGTGTGTCTCTCGGGGTTGTCCCTGGCTGGCAAGGGTAGCAGGCTCACACCCCACCTGAGAATGCTCTGTGCCAAGTCTCCACTCTCTTACAGCAGCTTTGGTGTCTTCACCCTTCTCTCCTACCTCCATGAGTGCATACAGCCTGAGTTCCCTGAACATGGGGACTTTACCTCGAAGCCTCTACTCCACTAGCCCTCGCGGGACCATGATGAGGAGGAGACTGAAAAAGAAAGACTTCAAAAGCTCACGTAAGTGAAACAGTCACCGTTGTCTCATGGGCTGGAGAAGATAAGCGGGCTGGTCGGAGTCTGTGGGAAGAGTGTTTTCTGGTGCCTAAATGATCAGGTGGATGCTAAGGGGCTCCCAGCTCTATGCCAGAGGTCCCTGAAATGCTATCTAGTATCTACATGATACTGATTGCCCAGAACAATTTCAGACTGAATTAGTTAGTTTGTCCTATCTTTGCCGACAACTTTTTGTTTGAAATTTCTTTTCTTGCTCTTTGGATCTGATACGGTAACCAAAGAGGTGATTTTTTTCCCCTTCAAGACTCCTTCCTTATATTCTGGGTGACTTTGGACATGAAACATTTGTTCTCAGTTCCTTACTCACTCCAAATCAATGGTTTGAAAACTATGTCTCCCTCCTGATAAATATAAGAAAGAACCCCATGCATCTGTTTAATATGATTATAACATGTAATCACTTCTCTTTCCAACCAGATCGAATCATAGTCTAGAGAGGTGGGAGTATTTCCTGTCCTATATGTCCCCTTTGGTGGCTGTAGTTGTGATTCCTATAGAGAAACTCAAAGAAGGTGGGGTCTCTTCCTGCACTTACCATAAAAATAAAATAAGGAACACCCTTAAGTTACCTAAGTAAAATAAAACCCAGACTCTTCAAGGCTGGAAGTGAAGAGAATGTTAGGAGAAGGGATGTTTGGACCTATTGGCTTTTCAGCTTGTTTGTCAGAGATTCATCTTCACAAGAGGACCCACCATGCCACCATCACGGAGACCAGCCACCACCCACCCTGGGAAATGGTCTCTTCATGTTACAGGAAGCTGAAGGTTTCCTTACAAAGAAAACCACTGCAAAAGATAGGGTCACACCGTGGTATAGTCATGATTTTGCCTTGCATATCCCTTCAAATATAAGGGGATTTTTTCATCTTTAGCATATGTGCAGGACAGTAAATTTAAAAATAGGAAAATAGAAGGAAGATTGAGTTTAGGTAAAATGAGAATAAACGGCTTCTGGAGTCTCAGATCTTTCTCAGCTGACACGAAAGTAAATTATTCAGTCTTGGAAGAAACCATTTGGAGGCAGTAGAGTGAAGTGGTTATAAGCATAGATGTGGGAACCAGGCTGCCCGTGCTCTCATCCCAGCATCATTGCTGTAGGACCTTGAGCAAGGCACCTAAGTTCTCTATGCCTCGGCCTCCTTAGCTACAAAACAGGGATTAATTACTTACTTCATTGGGTAATTGGGAAGATTATATGAAAGAATATATATATTCACACCACCAAAAGGGACATATGGGACAAGAAATACACTCTGTGAGGAGAATATATATTATTAAGTACATATTATGCATATTATTTTAAAATTATATATATTGGGGTGCCTGGGTGGCTCAGTCAGTTAAGCATCCGACTTTGGCTCAGGTCATGATTCATGGGTTCGAGCCCTGTGTCAGGCTCTGTGCTGACAGCTCAGAGCCTGGAGCCTGCTTCAGATTCTGTGTCTGCCTCTCTCTTTGCCCTTCCCCCACTTGTACTCTGTGTCTCTTTCCTTCAGAAATAAATAAACTTAAAAATACATATATACATACATACAATAATATGTGTTAATACATGTACATATATGTATATACATATTATACACATAGTTTATGTATGTGTTATATATATATAATTTTCTCAATTATATACCATATACAATATACTATATACAATAAATACTATATATATTATATACATATGTTAGAACAACACCTGGTAAATGGTAAACACTATTTAATTGTTAGCCATTTGAATAGTTTAAGTGTTAGTTAGTATGCCTTGAATCTAAATTGCCATGTGTGAAAATCTGTTGACACTGTTCCCAATTTTAGGCATTTTTCACAGTGACTACTTTGGCATAATACATAGGTTCTGGGTCTTCCATGCAATGCCATCAGGGCTTGTGGTGGATTTTTGTATATGAAATTGTTTACAAGTAATGCCTTTGGGTGCAGCGTCCCTCACCAACAGCAACAGCCTAACAGCCCTCATCAGGGAAGAGCAATTAAAATGAATTCATTAATGTTTGTACTTCTGCTTGAATGGCTACACATTTGTTTGTGTTAGGTAAGACTCACTCTGTTGACTAAAGGCATTAGTGACTCCAAATGAGTGATAATATGCTTGGCTATCTCGGGTTGATATTTACATAGCTTGAATTTTACAGTAGGAAACAAAGCTGAGATCACGCTGTCACTGATCCCCATAATCAACTCAAATTCTCTTTTGAATCAGAAAGTTATTCTCCAACATAGTAGAAACAGACGCGTGGCTCCAGAAATTGCAAGCTATTTGTGTTTTTTGGAGACATCGGCCACCAGGGCACCACTGACCGTATACCTACCAGAATGTTTATGAAAGTGTCTTCAGGAGATCACACATTTTATATTGTGATCAAACAACAAGGTCCAAAACTTTGATTCGTACTCCAAAAAGGCCTACAAAAATAATGATAGCATTCCAAAGCCAGAAAAAAGTAATTGCTGTTTTTGTTTTTTTGTTTTTCTTAAGTTTCTCTTCTCTCTCTCTCTCTCTCTCTCTCTCTCTCTCTCTCTTTGCTTCTGGTATGGTCACATTCGATGTAAGGGTTTTCCCAAATAACTGATAATAAAAGTTTTATTATGCTCTCACTATACCATGGTTTATTTCCACCACTTTATTTATGTCTTTATTCTATGCCACCTTTTGCTGTCCCCTTTCTAATACTTACGTTTCCATGGCAACCAGGCCATTTGTATGGACGATGAATCATGGCAAAGTCACAACAAATACAATAAAAAGTCTCTTCGCTGTACTGGTGATGAGGTGAGGCCAGAGCCTACAAAACAGAAAAAATTCTCACATACGTTTCTGGTACAAAAGGACATGCCAGAAAAGAATTGAAGTCTTCTCATAAATATTGAAAGATTCTGTATCGTTGACCGGAGGGGCGAATACAGGAAGTCTGTAACACCATGTTACAAGAATGAAAGCAGGAAAGTGCCGTGTTTGTTTCACAGGGAGAAGATGAGTATCCCCAGCACCAGTCTGGGAGGAGTGTCACAAAGCCCTGGAAGGATTGCAGAGCTGTGTCACAGAGGGAACCCTCTTGTCAGCTCTTCTGGAATCTTACTGACCTTTGCCCCACGGCCTGGGCTGTCCCTTTTTCTGCCTCAGAGGCTAAGGCTCTTCCCAGAACCCCGTCATCCCCCTGTGATGGCAGCATGACTGAGCAGCGGACCCGGTTCCTTCCCCCTGCTTCCTGCTTCTGCACACACAGCCAGTGTAGGCTCTGCCTGTTCTCAGTCCACCTGAATTGCAGCCAAGCGTAGAAGTTAGATGACATTCCCAGAATAGTCTTTGCCTCTTTTGCCATCCCCGTGTGCTACTAGGGAGGCCAACATGGAAAAGAGTTGAAGAGAATGAAAAAACCTAACAAGTTTTGTCCCTGCCACCAACCACTGAAAAAAGATCGGAGGACAAAGGCAGCTAATGGTGAGCTTTTATAAGTGAGCATGCAGGGAGCCCTTCAGGGTTCCCTAAGAGCTGCCCGCCCCACAAGCTGACCCCCATCTGGAGAAGGGAGCTGTTGGACACCCACACCGTGCACCTGAACTGGATCACACGGTGCACAGTGGGCTGGATCCCCAGCAGGCCGACTGTAAGGGGAAATACTTGAGTGACACAGAGGTCTTGAGTTACAGGATCAAATAATGGTGAACACCATATATGGATAAACCTTTGCAATCCATTGCTCCCTATACTTTTTAAATGCTTTTCCTATCTGACAGTTAACCTCACAGCCTTCTAAGAAGGCAGATTTTTAAGCTTTAGAAGCTAACAAGTTGTTTCTGGTTTTCCTCCCTTCCTTACACTAGAAAAGACAAGAATTGACAAAAACCACAGGGTCATTTCCTGCAAACCTGAAGGGTTGCGAACAGAACCCTCCAAACGTGAACAGGAGCAGGACAGAGCAGATGTGGATCGTGAACACAACCATGGGGCCCACACCATTTAGCAGTGTTCACAGCATGTCAGTGATTTAGTCCTTTCCTTCCTCGCCTGTGAGTAGAAGAAATGGGCGCACTTCAGTTCAGAGCCAGGACCTTGCAGGAGTCTCTACTGCCGGAGAGAGAATTCATCATACAAATTTTTAAATTACGGCATTATAATTCATAATAATTCACCTTTGTGAATGGTTGGCCACATTAATGAAGCAGGATAATCAAGCTCATCTTTTTTTCCTCTGAGTAATATTGGTTGCTTTTCTTCTTCTGGCTCATCATCTTTAAATCTACCGTTTATCTTTTTCATGTCTGGTTATAATTTGCAAGACTTTAATTTGTGTGAGTAATCAGTACGTACGATTCCAAATGAAATGTTACTGTTTCAAAGAACGTTTCAGTGTATCAAAGGACTTTCAGAGTTAATTATAAAATCCTAGATTATTTAATATAATCCTACATTTATTAGATACATTGTAAACTTTTATAATTATAAAACCAATATTTAACATAATTTTAATCCTAAATTAAAGGTCCTAATAATTTCTATTGTCTCAACTTGACTCCAGATGACGCTTACAAATTTAATGGTGCCCACAGTGAGCACTTAGATCTATTTTCAAAACCTTTTAGAGAAGTCCGTTTCTGAACTATCTTCTCTAACTCTTGCAAGAACGCAGCAAGTCTCTCCTTCGAGAAGATCTTTACTATATCTAGCCTAATCTATTCCTCCTATTATGATTGACCCATTTCTTCTTAATCCTCTCTTAGTGGAAATGGCATTTAGCTGACTTAAAGTTTCAAAAGTGGTTTTTAACTCCAGTTAAGTTGTCCAAAAATCTATACCAAACTGAGATCTCCGATGAAAAAACTGTGTATATTAATGTGAACCTATAGAAAAATTCACAGAAAGTATTCCTATTGAAGTAAGAAGTAATAGAAGATAGAATGGAAGTAATCTGACAAATAGGGGATGTCCTAATATTATATTCCTGCCTACTATGAGAACAGACTGGAAAGAAATGCAACTCTCCGGATCCATACTAACTACTCCTGGTGGTGGTTCTGTGCCATCAGGAACAAAATGTGTAATCTGGAGAGCAGGTAAAGTACAGTTGACATCAACAAAGCACACTAGAAAGTGTGATCTGAATGAATATAGTCCATGTGTCGGATCTTGGAATTGTAGGCCACCAGCTGTAAGAGGCTCAGGGTTGGAAGCTACCTTTACCCCCTACTTCAGGCTACTTTAATCTCATTGATGTGAATTTTGTTGTGAGAACTATGATGATGTTTCTTAAGAAGAAGTAGATTTTCCTTCCTTCTAGACAAATGATCTATCGCATCTTCCTCTGCCATGTCAGCTACAATGTTGGGATGAACTACATAGTGGAAAAATTGGGGTCCTGAGGGACAACTTTCTAGTTCCTTAACTCAGCAGAACCTGCATGAAATGTTGGTTCCAAAAAGAAAAATGTGGATAATATCACAAAACTCAATTCGTTCTTCCTTTATTTAGTGTTCATTGAATGTTCCGGGCATTGGGATTTCAAAGAGGAAAACATCTGGGTTCCAATCTTTAAAAACAAGGATGCTGAATGCTGAAGTAGGACCATGTATTAGAAATGTGGAGATGTAGACGCGGAGTACCTAACTCTGCCTGGAGAAAGCAGGGAAAGGGACATTGAAAGCCCAGGGGAAGAGCTAAAGGGACAGAGGGATGTAAGCAGAGCTGCAGCAGATAGGCAGGAGACTTGATAGGCAGGGGACATGAACTTATAAAGGTTCCCACGAGCTCTGTTAGCACTGGGGTGGTTGTTCTATAGAAAATAGGGAGGCATTGAAAGAGTCTAAATGGGAGGATGACCTCTGCCCATTAGATAAGCCACTCTGGCAGCAATTGGGAGGCTGTTCGCATAAGACAAGAGGCAAGGACATGGTTCTAAGTCTATATAGTGATCTGTATTAGCAATGATGAGGCCCTACTTTAGAGAATAGATACACTGGGGGCCTCATCATGAAGAGAAAGTTAACCTGGCAAGTTGATATGTAGAAAATGTTGGGCATGAAAGGACCAGAAACATCCATATTCACGTATTTGAAATAAACTAAACATCTGAAATACAAATAATAAAAGCCTGGACTGAAGCGTTAACAATAAGAAGGGAAAAGAGGATTTATAGAAGTTAGATTTCAGTGGTCATCCTGAAAGGATTTAGCCATTGTCTTGATTGAATTTGAGACGATGGGGATGTTCTGAGTCAAAGGCTACTTTGAGATTTCAGGCCTGGTGGACCTATAAGCATGATGGTCCCATTCATAGAAACCGTAGGGGGGATGCAAAAGAGAGGATGACTAACTCAATTTTTAAAATGTTGAGTTTCGAGGAGTCAGTGAGACCTTCTTGTGGATGGGATATCCACGTCAGGAAATTCATCCCTGGAGCTTGAGAGAAACTGGAGAGGTAGATTTGAGAAGATACACGCAGAGGTCATATTACAGAAGCAGTAGAAGTAAATGAGGGAAAGGAGAGTAGAGAAGGCTTAGAAGAGAACCACAGAGGGGCGCCTGGGTGGCGCAGTCGGTTGAGCCTCCGACTTCAGCCAGGTCACGATCTCGCGGTCCGTGAGTTCGAGCCCCGCGTCGGGCTCTGGGCTGATGGCTCAGAGCCTGGAGCCTGTTTCCGATTCTGTGTCTCCCTCTCTCTCTGCCCCTCCCCCGTTCATGCTCTGTCTCTCTCTGTCCCAAAAATAAATAAACGTTGAAAAAAAAAAATTTAAAAAAAAAAAAAAAAGAAGAGAACCACAGGGAAGTCTACGTTTGCCGTGTAGACTAAGCAAAGGAACTGGGAGGGGCTGAAAAAAGTCAGAAACTAAGAACGAACCTTCACTGAAACCAAGAGAGCAATTTCAGAAAGAAAAGGATAGTTCCCAAGCCACTTGCTGCAGAGTAGTTAGAGCAGAAGATGGCCATTGATTTTGGCAGTCAGGAAGTCATCAGTGAGAGTAGTTTCAGTAAAGGGTGAAAGGAGAGGCCAAGTTTTAAGCAGGCCCAGAATCAGTACAAACCCATAGGGAGAGGTCAGAAAGCTAGGGGAGTGAGCAGGAAAGTTGGAAAAAGCAAGAGAGAAGTATTTATGACACAAAATCACAGGGAGCCGAAATGGATAGGACCAGAAAGGAGGAGGTAGCCTTGAAATGGAAAGAAGGATACATCCTCCTGGGAAAAAGAAGGAAGTTAGAATAGATGATACAGAGAAATCGAAGTTGAAAAGAATGCTTTTAAGGAACTCTTGTCAAATGGCTGGATCTTTTCAGTCTGGTAGGAAATGAAGTCAGGAGTCAAGTTTGATCCTTATAATGGTGGAAATGTTTGAGACAGATCCCGTGAGAAATCAAATAAGGAGTCAAAGTATTACACAACAGAAAATTCCAGGGCCCCATAGAGAATTGTGTGAATGTGTAGTGACTTTCTCTAGCACCCATCAGCAACTTAGTAAGAGCACGGGAGTGGAGTGGGCATTACCAAAGAATATTGAGTATTAGACTATAGAAAATGTCATGAGCTTTCAGCGTCTCTGATTCCAGCAGCTGCATCATTGAAGTGGTCACCAGGGATCCAGGGGGAGTATGGGGGGAAACGATGCCAGTAAAAGGCAATACATAAAGACGGTAGCTTTCAAACTGGATTCCCCAGATTCCCACAGGAGGGATGGGAAGGCCTCCTCTAGGGTCTCCCATTCCTACCTCAGTATCTTCAGTAGCTCTGTTTTTATCTGAAATACAAAGACATCCCTTACATGCTTTCATTTGAAGAAGGGTCAGGGGGAATCTGTTGTTAACAAGGTTGCAAACCACTGGACTGGAAGACAGGTGAGAGAGAGTGGGGCTAGAAGTCATCAAGGAGGGAAAATGAGGTCGGAAGGACAGGGGGGAGATGGCTATTAAGATTGCGTGGTCAGAAAGAAGATTCAGATATGAAGATCCCAGAGTGGTCTCCAGGTTGAAGGATGGTGGGGTCCAACACAGGGTTCTGCTGATAGAGAGCTGAAGTCGGGTGGAATTGCTAATAATCAGCACTGAGAGACCCAAAGAAGCACAAAGCCAGGCGTTCAATTATTGCCATGATGTCAAAGATACTGAGGACATGGAAAAGCGACAGACTAGAAGGGGCAAATTAAGAGCCGAGTCTGAAGTCAGTGAGGAAATGGGGGGAAACAGGAAAAGTAGAACATCATGGGTTTGAAGAGGAGACAAAGCAGAAATAAGTAAATAATACAGAACTTTAAAATAGGAGTGGTTTGGGGCGCCTGGGTGGCTCAGTCGGTTAAGCATCCGACTTCAGCTCAGGTCACGATCTCACGGTCTGGGAGTTCGGAGTTCGAGCCCCGCGTCGGGCTCTGGGCTGATGGCTCAGAACCTGGAGCCTGCTTCCGATTCTGTGTCTCCCTCTCTCTCCGCCCCTCCCCCATTCATGCTCTGTCTCTCTCTGTCTCAAAAATAAATAAACGTTAAAAAAAATTTTTTTTAATAAAATAAAATAGGAGTGGTTTAAGGTAAAAAGCACTGCATGTGTGGAGCACGGAAGGTTCTAACCCTTTCTCTGTCCTTGTCCCCTGCAGGGAGAGTGAAAGAAAATAGCTTCTGGGTGGAGGGGTTTCTGAGGTATATGGTGTCAGCAGGTGTCAATTGCAGTAAGGAGGCCAGACTCTTTTGGAGGAAGTGACAGTCCCACATGGGACCCTGCAGAGAGCTTGCTCACAGAAAGCAAAGGAGGCGCAGGTCCCAGTGGGCATCAATGAGAGAAAGGCATCGGGGAGTGGAGTGGCCTTTTCATGACCCGCCAGAGATCCAGTGGGAAAGAACAAAGGCTAAAGAGCCAAAATTTGGGGATAGGAGAAATAGAAAGTTTAAACGACTCCATCAAGCCAACCCAATGCTAGATTAAGGTTGACGACCAACACGTCCTCGCCATTCCAAGAGCCAGACTCTTCAATGCTACAGACCAGATTGTTTATAAAAACCTTAAGGCTTAGGCACAAATGGATAGAGTGGAAAACACATTAGACCAGTTAGCCGAACCCTTTTTTTTTTTCATAGATAGAAAAGAAATCAATGCCTCCGCCCCTCCCAAGGTCACACAGCTGGTTGCCTACTGGTAGAGCCAGGACCAGAACCGACATACCCAATCCCAAGGCCATCCTCTTCCTACAACCCCCACAACTATCCCTGGTATGGGGGCCACCCTGGTGTTGTGACTGATAGATGACAGACATCAGGAGACTCCTTTATGTGGTTCAGCTCTGACTAAACTTATTTCAAGGAGACCAAAATATCCCACCATTACCAATGAGCTTTTTTTTAATTTTTCCTTTTTTCAGAGACATAATCTGTGTCAGCAAGGCCGGCGTCTCTGGTGCTTGCTCCAACCTAACATCATTGTTTTTCGTGTTTGTTCCTCCAGTGTCTTTAGCCTCGAGCACAGTGGGCCTGGCTGGGCAGGTCGTTCACACAGAAACCACAGAAGTTGTGCTGACAGCCGATCCCGTCACAGGATTTGGGATCCAACTGCAGGGCAGTGTGTTTGCCACGGAGACTCTCTCTTCGCCACCTCTGATTTCCTATATTGAAGCTGACAGCCCAGCCGAGAGGTAAGACACTCCTTGACAGCATCCTTTTCTGTGCCCGGTATCTTTGAATAGCTAATAAATTAGGGAACAGGGCTCAATGCAGGAAATGCAGGATGTGATGAACTCTCCGTTCCGACAGTAAAATTTTACGTTCTTGATAAGGTTTGAGAAGAAAAATGAGCGTGGATGCCTTTATCTAGCAGATTGTTGTCTGGCAGGGACTGGAGGCTGTATTAATTAAAAAGGAAAATATCTCTGAAGTTCCAACTTTATTATAATCATTCCTCTGCTGTGGGGAGCTGTACATTCATCACTACTATATATTGGTTCAGATCAGATTAAAACAATGCCATAGTTTTAAATTATTTGTTCCTTCTCTGGGGTACATCAACATTGCCTGGCTCACATCTGGAGCCATCAAACACAAGAGTGCAAGACCTTGCAGTTGACCTAATACGATGCCCACAGCATTGAATGAACAAGACCGAATGGTTACGCTATTCCACAAGGATCAAACAATACAGATTTGGCAACTTCAACTTGATAATTACTTACTCTGGCTACAGTCTCTAACATGTGGTTCTAAATATAGATGTGGGGTGCTACAGATTGGAGACAGAGTGATAGCCATTAATGGGATTCCAACTGAAGACAGCACCTTTGAGGAAGCCAACCAGCTCCTCCGAGACTCTTCAATCACGAGCAAGGTCACACTGGAAATCGAGTTTGATGTTGCAGGTATGGTCATATAATCGCGAGTCAGCTGCAGAGTCAGGAATGGACCGCATGTGAATTATATGGATTGTGTGGCAGATGGGGAGCTATTTTTTTTACCTACTGAACATGTTTTTGTTTAGGAGATTTGGGGTGTCATTTTGTATTGAGCATTACTCTTGTGCTATTCGTTAAAATGTCACCATAAGAACAGATGAAAATAAATGTGACAAAGTGAATAAGTATTAGCTGCTATAAAGGTGATTTTAAAAAATCACGTAGCCTTTATTCTTCCTGATTTTCCCCTATATGCTCGAGAAACCATATTCTTCTGTCACGTGGATGAGAAAAGCCTGTCTTTGACCCTTCCCACTGCAAAGAACATGTGGAAGTTTGGTAGGGAACAATGAAAACGCATTAGGTGGATTTATACAAGCCCAGCAGGTAAATAATTCATTCTCTAGTGTGAAAAAGAAATTGCACCGGACACTTGTTAAAAACAAGGAAGACTTTATTCAAGACTATTTCAAGAGAGATCAAGAGTTGGAATAGGGAAGAGAGATTAAACTCAATCCCAAAGACAGTATGGGCAGGTGGGAATTTATGGCCACCAAGCAAGGTGAGGGTAGGGAGTCATGGAATGAAAAATTACTAACAGGAACTTGATTAGATATCAAGGTGGTGGGAATGAGGAATTTGATTGTAGATTCCAGGGTGGGGGGATTCTCAACAACCTGAGTTAGCAGGATTCCCACTAAAACTGGGCTCAGCAAGTCAAAGATAAGGCCTCGTTGAAAAGAGGACCCAGAGGAGCCTAACTTAAGTTTGATCGGGAAGGGAATCCTTGTCAGTAGCTAACAGGTGTGTGGATTTTAGAGGTCGCTGCTAGTTTCCATTTAATGAAATGGTATTCATACAGTGATATACCACTTCATAGAGCCAACAATCTTTACCAACTGGTAAAGATATGCCTTTGGACGTAGGGATTGCATCTTCCCAGCAAATGCTTGCTGAGTGTTTACTGTGGGCCAGCTGGAGATGCAGCAGTAGACATGGAAGAAAAAATAACTCCTTCCTTCATGAAGCATATAGTATTACAGAAAGTTGATTTTTAAGTTAATGAATATAACTTTAGACAGTAATAAGTGCTCTGGGGAAAAGAAAACAGGATGGGGATGAGAGAATGGCTGTGGGGAGCTATTTTCATGGGATGATTCTCTGAGGAAGTGACATTTGAGCAGAGATTTGAAGGTTGGGAAGGAGCCAGCTACGTCCTGGGAGGAGGGTATTCCAGGTAGAAGGAACAGCCAGAGTAAAAGACATGGGCCAGATTAGTAAGATGGATGGATTTGAGAACCAACGGAAAGGGTTCTCACTGCAGCATAAGAAAGTTGGGGGTGACGATCACGTTTGGAATTGGAGATGGGGTAATGAGGATTGGAAGGGGCCAACTTAAGATGTGGCTTGAAGCAGGACTAGCAGAACTTGTTTATGGAATGGATATGGAAAATGAGAGAAAGGGAAAATCATGGATGACTCCTGAGGTGTAAGAGTCAGCAATCAAGTAAAGAGTGATGGCTTTAAGGGAGAGGAAGACTTGAGGAATGGAAATTTGAGGATAACAACAAGTTCTGTTTTATGCGAGTGGGTTAGGGGCAGAGAGAGAGGGAGACACAGAATCCGAAGCAGGCTCCAGGCTCCGAACTGTCAGCACAGAGCCCGACGCTGGGCTCTAACTCACAAACCGTGAGGTCATGACCTGAGCCGAAGTCGGTCACTCAACCAACTGAGCCACCCAGGCACCCCGAACAAGTTCTATTTTAGACATGACTAGGCAAATCCACTGCCAGTTCTAGGGGGAAAGGGACAAGCACATCCATTCCTTAGTTCAGAAGACAACTATCGAGCACCAGTTACTCAGTGCTAGGCACTGTGCTATGTTCAGATCATTTAAAGGGAAAATAAAAAGGATTAATATCTTCAAAGAGCTCAGAGTCAATTAGACAAGAGCAAGATCTGCTAAAAGATAAGAATAGACTTACTGAATGTGTGTTGCCACTGGAATATGAAAGGAAGTGCCCGATGGGGGATCTGGGCCAGAGAGCAGCCTTGAGGAGGAGCCACCATGTCAGTGACTGGTGAAGTCACTGAAATACAGGAGACCACTAAGGAATGAGTGGCAGGAAGGAGGGGATGCTGCCTGAGGAATTCTAAGATGGGAAGGGGAAGGATGCTAGCCAAGGAAATAATGTAGGTGCAATATGAGAAGTGAAAGGAGAACCCAAAAAAGGTAGCATTTTGGAAACCAAAACAAGAACTTCAAGGTCGTGGTCAATAGCATAAAGGGGCTTCAGAGAATTCAAGTAATATAAGGCAAGAGAGGTCCATTGGATTTGGCAATTCAGAAAAAAAGACATTGCAGAGTATATTCAGGGAGTTGGGGGACAGGAGTCAGACCACAGAAAGCCGAGGAGTGAGGAATGGGCAGAGAAATACAGGCAGGCTATGCTTGCTTTCTGCCAATGAACTGGGTTTTGAAAGAGGGTAACTAGAAAAATGCAGTGAATGGATAAAAAGGACAGAGGCCACTGTGGCCTCTTCCTGTTTGAAAACTTCTACAGCATTTAATTACATACTGGACACTCTATTTTATTCTCTAATCAGTGGTTCTCAGTCAAGATCAGTTTTGCCCTGTGGAACATTTGGCAATGGTAAGAAATTTCGCTGTGGGTGAGAAAAAGATGGGGTAAAAGATAAAAGATTCGGAGTTCAGAGGGGAGTTATTTGTTTTGTTGTTTTGTTTTGTTGAGATTGGAGAGATCTGAACATGTCTGAGGCCTGAAGTGAATGAGGGAGAAAAAAGATCATTGATGGATATAGGTCCCTAAAGGGATGAGCAGAGAAGTTGTCTAGAACACAGGTAGATAACTAGTCTTAAGACAAAAGGTTGATGGCCGCCTCTTGTGAGTTTGAAGAGAAGGATGTGAGAATGTAACTATTGAGACATTCATGTAAGAACTGTCAGGCAAAGGTAAAAGGATCAGCATCTTGGGGAGTTGAAAAGAATGATGGTTTAGAATAGCTAATGGGGAAATGACTGAGAAAGCTAACCAGACCCATGTACAGGGATTTTCCAGCTGGGTGGTGGACCATGCAAAGTCCAGAAGCTCTAAGTTAATAGCACTGTCAACCTGCACGGCCAAGTAGTTTTTGGTCAGGTGGCCTCAGCTACTGAGGAGTAACAGCAGAGGTGCTAGGTGATTAGACTGAACCAGAGATTGAGATTTCCAGAGAAGGGTCAACAGAAAGAAAACTAAAGTCACAGCAGTTCAAATTGTTGCAGGAAGAACAGATGAATAACTATAGTAATAACATCAAAATCATGGTAATACTACGAAATGCTTACTCTATGGCATGTCACTCTTCTAAGCACTCCATGTGCATTAGCTCACTTATAACAGCAATGGAGGTTACTATGATTTTGTCGCCAGAAAACTGAAGCCCATGGAGTTAATGGTAGGGCTAGGATTTTCACCCAGTTGGTCTGGCTCCTAAGGCCATGCTCTAACCACTACACATACTGCCTTGAGGGAATCTAGGCTACAGATGGATGGAAGTCAATAGTGGATCATCATGGTAGACTGGGAAGAAAGAGAGGACTCAAGGGCTTAGGAGTATTCAGGAAGAAAAATGGGTGTAGTAAGAGAAAGTTGAGGAGGGAGCTAATGGCGGGAGACTGAGGTCAAAGTGGCATATTAGAGCTTAGCATTTCAGAGAAGGTCAAGTAGGGCTCAGGGTAGTGAGCTGCTGAAGTGAAGTAGAAGGGAGGCGAATATTATTCAACCAGAGGTCTGGGAAATTGGAATGCAGTGTGATGGAAAGAGCATCCACACAGTGGAATCTCCCAGAAGGAGGGCAGGACTTGGAATGAGAGTGTATGAACTAGCTGCTGTTGACATGCTGAATACAAGCCCATCAGAGGATCTCTGCAGTTCCCCCTGCCTGAGTGGCTCTTCCCTCCCACATTCAAGTGGTTTGCTTACTTCATTCAGGTCTTTGCTCAAATATCACTCGTTCAGGGAATCATTCCCTCACCATAACACTCTGTTCCTGTGCCCAGATTTATGGTTCTTCTTAGCCTTACTCATGCTCTGATGTTATATTGTGGATGTACTTATTGTCTTATCTTCTCCACTGGAAGAATATCTATGATGTCAGGGACTTTGTGCCTTTTGTTCACTAATGTATCCCAGCACCCAGAATAGTGCTTGGAATACAGGAGCCTCTCAGCCAATACTTGGTGAATGAATGAATGAATGAATGAAGTGCATTTGTCTCTCCTGAGGGACTGGATCCAGGAACCTCAGTTTGCATCAATAACTGATTTCAGGGGTGCATGGGTGGCTCAGTCACTTACGCTTCTGACTCTTGGTTTTGCTCAAGTCATGATCTCACAGTTCGTGGGTTTGAGCCCCACATCAAGCTCGGTGCTCACAGCCCAGAGCCCGCTTGGGATTCTCTCTCTCTCTCTCTCTCTCTCTCTCCCTCCCTCCCTCCCTCTCTCTCTCTCTCTCTCAAAATAAATAAATAAACTTAAAAAAAAAAACTGATTTCATATCCACTATTTCTCTGGAGTTCCTGGTCTCTCGGTGTTGCTTGTCTCTGCGTATCTGCTCCATTTGTCTCTCTACAAGTTTTTTCTGGCTTTTGATTGTACTTGATTGCCCCATCTTTGCTAAAGGGCCCAGCCAGTGCCAGCCAGTTCAAGTTTCTAATTCTCAGATTTGTTAGCTTCCCCTTCTTGTCAGCTGTGACCAAGCAGGAATCTGGTAGAAGGACCCTGTAAGGATCAGTCAGATGTTGACGAGGGTGTGCTTTTCAAAGAAGGCTGTCCAGCAGCCCCAGAATGTATTACTACAATCACAGAACATTAGTGGTGAAGGGACTCTTACAATCCAATACCTTCATTTATTTATAAATGGAGAAACTGAAGTTTGAGCGGGGAAACTCAAGGTCATAGAACAAAGTAGACTGTTGACTTGCG